AGAATTACACTCAATATGATGAGCTTCTTGTAAATATCTAATATTAATTATCTCACTTAATAATCGTTGATCACTGTAATTTACCTTTCTAATATCATGTAAGTTCAGTATCTAAGACCATATGGACGAGGGAATTCTCTTTTGTGAGCAACTGGGCAAGTAAGAAGAGTGTTGATCGCCAGATGTACGGTTCAAAGTGACATTAAGGGGTCGTTTGGTTCACGGAATGTCAGATTATCTTAGGGAATGTTAGATTGCTGGGAATGTTAGATTACTGGGAATGTTAGATTCCTGTGTTTGGTTAAAATTGGGTTATATAATATAATGATGTTTGGTTTAGGGTTATCTTTTATACACACTATAATAGCCTTAACATATTTTCATATATTTTAATAAATTTAAAAATTAAAATAAATAAATAAGATAACGGTATCATATATAATTACATGATTTTAAAATATTAACTAAAATCTTGAACTTGAGAAACAAAATTATTTTATATGCTAACATAAAATAATAAAAATAAAAAATATATATAATTACAAAAATAATTATATATATATATATATATATATATATATATATATATATATATATATATATATATATATATATATATAAACTAACATAACCAAGGTTATCTTACATTACCTAAGATTTTGAAGGGAATCACATTCCCTTCAAAATCCTATGTGGAGGGAATGTGACATTCTTTGGGAATGTTAGATTCCCTAAGATAATATAAACCAAACACCGGAATGTGAGCTTTGGAATGTCACATTCCATTGGTTATGTTATATAACCTGAACCAAACGCCCCCTAATTTCCTACTAGACACAAAGGCAAGGGTAGGAATGTCCATACACAACAGGAGAATTTAATTTTTATGATATGGGATTAGTAATATTATTTATTCCAAACTATTTATTACAATTTCACTATTTACTATAAAATATTATATGTAAGGCTTAAAGTATTAATTATATATGCAATTGTGTTATGGATGTAATGACACTTTATTTTATGCAAATTATCTATTATAGTTTATCTATAAAATATTACATTTAGAGTCCGTTTGGAAAGCAAGAAAATGACTTCTGAGAAATGCTGAAAAATAAATTATTATACAAAAAACGTTTTCTTTTCTAGTGTTTGGTTTATTTTTTGAAAAATGGGCATAATTATTTTTCATTTTAAATATTTAAAATATATTATTATTATTATTATTATTATTATTATTATTATTGTTGTTGTTGTTGTTGTTGTTGTTGTTGTTGTTGTTGTTGTTGTTGTTGTTGTTATTATTATTATTATTATTATTATTATTATGTCTATAAAAATTTAGGTGCAAAAGAAAAAGAAAAAGAAAAAAAAAGAAAAAAAAAAACTAGAACATGTCACTGAATTTTATTTTTATTCTTTTAGATCTTGTAATGACATATAAAAATTGTATATACTTGAACTCAATTCGAATTGTTTTTTTTTTTTTTTTTTTTACAAATCAAATGATTCTTAGTAATTCAATCAATTATATTCCCTGTTCAGAAATTATCAATTATTTATTTTTCGGGTGTCTATTTATTATAAAAATGTTTTAAAATTCACTTTTCTTGCAGTTCCAATTTTCAATCAGACAATAATTTTACTCTCAACAAGTTTTGGCGTTTAGGCGTGGCATGTTTGTAGCTCATACGTCTGCTTTCGTTTGAGCGGAAATGAAAAGTTACGTTCATGCACATGACCAATGTTTGGTTATTATAATACTACAATTATTATTTTGGTGGGTGGTGGGTGGTGGGTGGTGGTGACGGCGGCAACCAGTGATTGGTTGGAGCTGCAAACAGAAAATGACTTCTTAAAAAAAAAAAAGAGAAGTCATTTTATGAAAATCTCTCATATTTTTTATTGACCATACTCTTATTTTTCATTAACTTTCATTTTTTCCCTCTAGCCAAATACGAGAAACCTGAAAAATAATTTATATAAATTATTTTCTAGGTTTCCAAACGCACCCTTATGCTATAACATTCCGTTTGGTTGGAGGAAAATTAGAATCTCATGTTTACCGTGGTATTTCAATTTTGCATTGGTTGTATAAAGTATATTATATATAAGGCTTAAAAGTATTTGAGATTTCTGTAATTCTATTTTGTTATTACTTTATTTTCTGTAAATTATCTATTACGTTTTGCTATGAAGTATTATATTTATGATATAAAATATTAACTCATTTTTTATTAAATTTAACACGTTTTATTAATTAAAACCCATAAGATGGTTCGTTTCACATAAGAGCAGCCATTCTCTTACGCTACACGCCAGCACTGTATTACTTAACGTGCTTCGTGGATTAAGAATTTCTCCTTTGAAACTTCTTTGGTCAAAGTCAACGTGACGAGGTTATATTCTCATTCTGCTCCGTAGTCCGTACAGTAATTGCAATAGTTAATACGTATAAAACTCAATTTTCTCAATTATAGATTGCTTATTTTTTTCTTAAGGAGATGTGAAGTCTGTTAGAAATAAATAAACCCTAGTAAATTACATGTGTAATGCACGAACAAAAATTTGTTATTATATATTTAGATAATAAAATTAAGAATGAAATTATAAATAGTTCTAATATTTGAAAGTGTATATTTATTTAATTATAAAATTAGTGTAAAAGTATTACTAATTAATTAAATAATATATGACTCGTTTGTTTGTAATTATTTTAGAAAATTGATATTGTAATATGATTTAGGCAATTATATTATTATTAAAATAATAAATATGAGAAATAATTTAAAAATTCATTAAATTGTGAAAAAAAAAAATTGGAATCAAACTCTATTTTAATGTTGTTTTTAATCACCTGATTTAGAACTGTTTTGTTCTCATATATGATTGAGGTACTTTTTATTGTAAAATAAATATGTTTCAAACGGAAAAAAAATTAGGCAATTGTCTGGAATTAAAAATAGTTAAAATCAAAAAATGCGAAATTTCATTACTACTCTTGTAAATTTGTGTTAACAAAGATAAAAAATTTAATAACAATTATAATAATACTAAAATATGATAATATAATAAGATCAACGACTCAAATCAAGAATTTTTTTTTTTTAAAAACGAATGTGCTTAGAACTGGATGCATTCTCCTCCTACCATTGTTGAACTGATACACCTTAAGGTTCAAAATTAAGCATCATAAGTTTCAAACGGACGCACCTTAAGGTTCAAACTAACAAACCTTAATAAGTTTTAAACATACGTACATTAAAGGTTTAAAGTGACACACCTTAAGCTTTATACATACGCACTTTAAGTTTTGAACATGTGCACCTTAAGTGTTAAAATGACGCACCTAAAGTGTAGAACTGACGTGCCTTATGTATCAAATTGACACACCTTAAGCTTTCAACAATACGCAAAATTATCATAATGACATTGCTTTTTTTTTTTCTTTCTAATTTATCTTCATTCTGAGCTATTGATTTTTTCAAGATCAATAGCTATGATTTACCCGCATGTTTCACCTGTGAGACGTTTCGCACCTTTTATATATATATATATATATATATATATATATATATATATATATATATATATATAGAGGGAAGGGATCAGGTGCGGGGTGCGGGAGGGACTTTCCGTGCGGTTGGACTCACATTAAGCATTAAACTGGCGCACTTTAAGTACACAACACACGCACATTAAGCACACAAACAAAATACCTTCAGAACATAAACTCACGCATCTTAAGCACAACCCTCACACACCTTAAGCACAAAACTCACGCACCTTAAACACAAAAACACATGCATCTTAACTTTCAACAACTACCCACATTAAGCACAAACTCACGCACATTAAGTACACACCCACGCACCTTAAGTACAAAACTCACGCACCTTAAGCATAAGTCTCACGCACCTTAAGTACAAATTTTACGCACATTACTCACCACAATCACACGGGAAACATGCACCCGCACTGGAACTATATATATATATATATATATATATATATATATATATATATATATATATATACACACACACACACACACACACACACACATTCATTAGCATCATATGAGATCACCTGTTTAGGTGAGATTATGAGATCAAATCTTGTGCATCGATCTAATTAATTTTAATGGTCTAGATTAAGTGTGTGCGAACGCGATTAAGTGTGTGCAGACGCGATTGATCTAGATTGGTCTATGTAAAATTGTGAGATCAAATCTTGTTTATCAATCTAATAAATTTAATGGTCTAGATTAAGTGTATGCAAATGCGATTAAGTATGTGCGAACGCAATTAAGTGTGTGCGAACACGATTAATCTAGACCATTAAAATTTATTAGATTGATGCACAAGATTTGATCTCACAATCTTACCTAAATATGTGATTTCATAGGAAACCTTCCCTATATATATATATATATATATACATATATATATATATATATATATATATATATATATATATATATATATATATATATATATATATATATTATTTTTATTTTTATTTTTTATTTTTTTGTTCCTGTGAGAACAGGTCTTCCCGTGCGGTTATGCGCCATACACCATTAGGTATGCATAAATGCACCATACAGTGTTCGAAAATACACCAGAATGAAATGCCAAAAAATGCACCAGGCAAAAAAAAAATACACCACACATAATTGTGTTTTAAACACTGTGTAGTGCATTTAATCCATTTATGCATACCTAATGGTGTATGCCACACTGACCACATGGGAAGACCTATTCTCATAGGAATCGGACCCTATATATATATATATATATATATATATATATATATATATATATATATATATATATATATATATATATATATATATATATATGCTATTGTGAACAGTATTTTAGAGGTGAATCTAAGAAATACGGAGTAGAAAAGTTTATAGGGAGAGGGGAAGAAGAAATATAATACTCCGTATAAATTAGCATAATTGGTTTTTTTGGATGAAACCAAAGAAATTGATAAACGTGGCCGGTGGCTCTCTGTTTTTTCTACCCAAAAACTAATCCGAAACAGACTCTCCTATGTTTTCTCCGAAGGAAAGCACACTCTTTTTCTCTTTCATTTCCGCTTCATTCAATTTTCTCCCTTCTCGTTCTTGTTTCTTCAGCGTCTTCAACGCAAGACCGAGCTTTCACTTCTAGAATCTCAACGCACAAAAACTAACATAACATTCTAAAGGTTATTATTCTTCCTCTTCTTCTGCTTCTTCACCCACGATTATTTTCAGACACATGCAACATGGGCACGTTAATTTTCAATTAGATTCACTTATATGCTTTCGTTCTCGGAGAGAAATGTATTGATAATGATGTAGTAGGTGCGTGCGCGCGCAAAAAGAAGTCCTTTTTTTGAGCTTTTGTTTGGTTTTCTGCAGCTCAACTATGCCTAAAATTTTCATTCCTTTTTTTAAAAAATAAGTAAATAAATCTGTGAATTTTTGCATAAATTTTAAGCTGCGTTGACTCAGCTAATGATGATTAAATCAAAGGTTCAATCTTTATCAAATTATGCAATTTGGGTTTTCTTTATCTGGCCTCTTTGTTTTTATTGAATATGTTCCTTTATCAGGTTAGAAAACTAGGCAGTCTAAAGAGCGTGTTTGATATCCGATCATTTTCGATGACGTTTTCAAAGGGATTGTTTAATCTTGTTTGATCCAATATATTAGCCGTTTTGATATTCCTTATGCATCATACCTGTCTGTTCGGCTTAAGTATTTGTTTAATGTTACTAGTTCTTCACCCTCTTTGTCCTTCTATATTTTGTAGGCTTACATGTTACTATATATATATATATATATATATAGCTTTTAATGTTTGTTTGTTCTATCTTCATTCAATATTTTCTATGTTTTGTCAGTAGGTCAGAATCTTTTGTGTCTTTATGATGGCTAATTGTCTGATGTGCTGAGGTTGAATTTGTTATGGTGGCTTTTGATTCAGAATCTGTGTTAGAAGAGTACAATTTGGGGGTTTGATTTGAACATAAGATGCATATTTATCCCGCATATCTGGTACTACAATAGGAATCAACTGCCATCAACTATTGGAATTGCCTTTTCGCGACCTTTGGTGTGTGATTTTTCGATAGAGAAGCAATTTTGGTCTGAATTTTGGCAGTGAGATCACATGTTAAGGTTTTGCAATGGGGTCCTTGAGCATGGAGAAGAAGTGGGTGTTTCCTTTTGTTATCAGCGCGCTCATATGTGTATTCCTTCTAGCTACCTTCTTCAACATGGGCATGATCTCTTCGAATTTCCCATCTCGTGTTTCGTTGAATCAAACGAGTTCCTACTATGGTGAAGCGAAAATTAAGCAACCTCTGCTTCCTCACAGTCCTCCCGTTCCACGTTTTGCTTATTTGGTGTCTGGCTCCAAAGGCGATTTGGAAAAGCTATGGAGAACGTTGCTGGCCTTGTACCATCCACGGAATTACTATGTTGTCCATCTGGACCGAGAGTCGTCAGTGGAGGAGAGACTCGAGCTTGCCTACAGAGTAGAAACGGAATCCCTTTTTGTGGAGGTTAGGAATGTCCACATGATTACCAGAGCTAATATCATTACCTACCGAGGGCCTACCATGGTTGCTAATACTCTTCAGGCATGTGCCATTCTTCTCAAGAAGTTTCAGGATTGGGATTGGTTTATAAATCTCAGCGCTTCAGATTATCCCCTCGTGACTCAAGATGGTTAGTTAGTTCATTTGTTGTTCTCAATTCTCTCTTTGATTAGGTGTTTGATTTGTCGTGTTTTTGTGCTTTCAGATCTTCTTTACACTTTCGCCAGTTTAAAACGAGAGTTAAATTTCATCGAGCACACAAGCCGCTTGGGCTGGAAGGAGTATGCTCACTGTCCCTTTCCTCCTTTAAAGATGTCAAAATTAAAGCTTTGATCTTATTGCATCATTGTATATGATAACGTTGCAGGGGTCAAAGGGCAATGCCATTGATCGTAGACCCCGGGCTCTATAAGGATACCAAATCCGACATATTTTGGGTCGGGCCAGGGAGACCTTTGCCCACATCTTTTAAACTATTTACCGGTCAGTATCATGTTACAATGTTTAACTGATATAGAAGTGCAAAAACCGCTTTGATCATTTGAAAACTTATATTCGGGCTGTAAAACTAACCATTTGCAGGTTCTGCGTGGATGATCCTCTCCCGGGCATTCGTGGATTACTGCGTAGAGGGTTGGGAGAATCTTCCTAGAACCCTACTTATGTACTACACGAATTTCGTGTCTTCTCCCGAAGGGTACTTTCAGACCGTGATATGTAACACCCCTCAGTTTATACCGACTGTTGTGAACCATGACATGCACTATATTTCTTGGGATGTTCCTCCACAGCAGCATCCTCACACGCTCACCCTAAACGATACCCGGAGAATGATTAGAAGCGATGCTCCCTTTGCACGCAAATTCAACCAAGGCGATCCCGTCTTGGATAAGATCGACAAGAAATTGCTGGGCAGAAGAAATGTCAACTTCACTCCTGGCGGTTGGTGTGCTGGTTATCCTCCTTGCTCCGAGATTGGAGATCCTGTAAATCTTAGACCGGGTTCGGGCGCTAAAAGGCTTCGCAGTCTCATAGGTAAAATAGTTTTGTCAGAGAAATTTAGGAAGCAGCAATGTAAGTAGAGTTGTTATGTGTAATGTCTCATCCACTCACTGGGAATGAAAGCAGCAGGTGGATTAGAAAGATTCATTCAAAGAATCTGAAAAATAAAATATATGTCTTAGGATGTTGTGTAAAATATGCTTCTGCAATTTTTGATAATATGGTATCCATCCATTTTGAAACATTTTGTTCCTTCCAATTGGAGTTGGCTTCAGATTTAGGCCTATTTTGTGGCCTTAACACTACTTGTCTACTTGAATGAAGATTATGAGATTCCCTTTTCCACATGGCACAGAAAAATTCTTGTGGCCAAGATTATGTCAAATGTGACTCTTGTGCCAGGCAATATGAAGAACAAATTCATTAAAATTCTGAATTGTCAACATTACAATTGACCTGTGTCTTCTCCCAAGTGACCAAGTCCCTGCCCATCCATTAAGAGGATTAAATGGTAGGAACATTATTGTTGAATCATTAAAACCCATGCTATAAATTTTAGGGAAGGTTAGACATTAGATACTTGTCTATTTATTGATTTTCAAACTCAAAATCAAATATATTTGTAACTATCCAAACCCGAATGAATATTACCCTTTATATTGTACTTGTCATAAATTATTTGAATTCTTTTAACAAATTTTGAAAAAGTCAGATACTTGGTATATTACTTAATTCAACATCATCCCTACTAAAATCTAATAGTAAATCCAATAATAAAGATACTCGTTTATACCAATGATGCTACAATATTTTACTCGACTACTATTGTGATTTGTGATTGCCATCTTTGGATATGGTTAACTAAAAAGTATCAAATCTCTATTTATAAATATATATATATATATATATATATATATATATATATATATATATATATAAAATAATTAATAACAATATCCAAAAAACAAAACGAAAAGCATAAATAAATATTTTAAATATAAAGATCCCACGATATGAGTCACAGTAAATTTGAACGTCGAAGGGATTCAAGTTGGATTACTCATTCAAACAGCCCCCACAGGCATCCCCATTCTCTCTTGCCAGATTACAACTGGTGAATTCAAGATTTTTTTTTTTTTTTTTATGGAGAAAATGATCAAATAAGCCCCTAAATTATATTTAAAAAAATCGATTAATTCGCTAAATTTTTAAAAAGTACAATTACACCCTTTAACATTTTATATTGAGACAATGAAGTCCAATAATCAATAAATGACTTGCTATTACGAGTCATTAGAGTTCCAACATCAATTTTATTATCTCCGGCGACCAAACCATCGCCGGTCGCCGTCTATCAGAGAAGGCGACTAGTTGGTCGCCTTCTCATCTCAGAGACTTCCGCCGGGAAAGGCAACCTAGTCACCTTCTCATCTCAAAAGGCGCCAGCTGCCGAATTGTTGGCAGAGATGATAATTTTGACGTTGGAACTCTCATTTACCCATTTTTGGACTTCATTGCCTTAACATGTTAAATGGTGTAATTGTACTTTTTAAAAGTTTAAAAGACTAATTGATTTTTTAGATAAAGTTTAGGGACTTATTTGACTTTTTTTCTTTTTTTTTTAAATTTTATTTTTTGTTGTTATCTTTGTTTTCAGTTTTTTTTTTTATACAGCCTACGAGAGTACGAGAAAGCCACCTCAACATGGGAATACTTGTGATAAGAAATTAGATAGATTATTCAGGCAAGTCGACGTGAAATATTGAAGATTGCAATTTGTATCTGGGAGGATTTGGATATCATTTTGGCAAAAATTATGGCATGTACGGTGTATATAAATGTTTGGTTACCTTCAACAAATTTCTGACATCTTGGAGTCAGTTGAACTAATCTCAATACAAATAAAAGTCATCTTGAGGCAGTTCAACTGATCTTAGTACAATAGTACCAAATATAAGAAGAATATAGGCAACAATAATCTGTTTGTCTTGGCCACAAAACTGCATATTTTTCATCTTCACCCTCTCCTAACTGTTATCTATAATACATTTCATCAAAAGTTAACTCTCGTACCCCAATTTAGTTGTTTCCGCTATTAACTACTTACAAAAATCAGTTTTTTTTTTTTTTAATCACAATTTTTTTCCTTTTTGGTGTTGCTGTAGCCTACAGTTCCTACTATATTTGACCTCAGGTGCCACAATACCTTTGGTTGCAGTCATTTACTTGGTTTTTTTTTTTTTTTTAAGCCTCCAGAGATCTAAACCATCTCCAAGAGCTTGATATTACCCATTGAATTTGCAGCAACTAAGGTGGATGACTTACCATGCCAGCAAACAGACGAGATAAATTGCGCAGCATCCTCCACCACGTCCCCAGAAAGCGGGTCTGTGCTTGTAAACTTGTTGGATACAAATGCGGGCATTGGAAATGCTTTGTGGTATATGAAAACCTGTACCACGTATCATAGAAGAAGCATATCATTGAACGACTTTCTAACAAGATTTAAGTATTTGATAGTGTAATAAAACAATGTATAGACTAAAAATGATACCTCATTTGTTTCTGATCCAGTTGCAATGAAACCTTCAGATACGGACAGGCCAACAAAGTTCTGAAACAAGGAATTCCCCTCATTAGCATTGAAGCATATTTCAAACATATCTTACTTTAACTGGTAATGGATCGTTATAAGTGGCATAAGAAGACAAATATTGTAGGACGAAAAGAAACAGCAGTCGTTATATCGTGCACCGCGGTGCATAATCGATTATGCACTGCATGTCAAAACGGCGCCGTTTCTGCAGTTATAACGGAGTGACACTACAGTGTGTCTAAACCGACACTGTCTCACGTATTATTTTTATATTATCAAATGAAACTGCAGTTATATCAAAATGATACTGTAGTTGTGGTGAAATGAAACTACAGTATATATAAAATGAAATTGAATAACATTTCACATATTTGAGTGTATATTGTACAATGAAGCTGTAATTATATTGAAATGATCATGTAGTTGTGTTTTAATGAAACTATAGTGTATATAAAATAAAATTAAATAACATTTTCACATATTTGAGTGTATAAATATTGAATGAAACTGTAGTTATATCGAAATGAAACTGTAGTTGTGTTGAATTGAAACTACAGTGTATACAAAATGAAACTGAAGAACATAGTTATTTTTTGCGAAGATTCTGTTTCTTTTCATTAAACAAAACGACGTCGTTTTGATGCGCAGTGCATGATCGATCATGCACCGCGGTGCACGATATAATTTGCGAAGAAACAGATACCTCAGTGTTTTGCAACAAATAATAAATTAATTAATAGAAAACACATGAGATGACACATTGGTACTTGATAAATATAAAACACAATTTCAGTGGTTTTAGATTAACAATTCATATAGGTGTCATAACAAGATCCTTTTTCTCTTCTCATAATCTGGAGTTGCCAATTATGTTTACTAGACTAGAATGTAGGATAGAATCACAGGGAATATTAAGCGTAAGTAGTATGTGTTACAAGTTATAATATGGTTTTAGCAAATTTTGTCTCGAAAAACCCAATTTTCTCCATTTTGCTTAACTAACTAGTACTCCGTATTGGATTGTGGAGGACTTGAATTAGAAACCAATGGCTACAAAAATCTAGAAAATTATGGGTGGGTGGAAAAAAAATACCTTTACATTCATATGTCCAGTATATGACTGAAGAGGGCAATCAAGAATCCGAGATGAGCACATTGACAAATCCCAAAGCTTTATCGTGTTATCGGTTGATGCAGAGACAAGTGTTGTTGAATCAATAAACTTGACATAGCTCACCGTCTTGTTGTGCCCAATTAGAGTGCATAAAGGCATTTTAGTATTCCGTAGATCATAGTAATATATCCTGTGATCTGCTGATCCAAATGCAAGAGAATGGCCAGAATCAAAAGGAAATTGAACACAGCATACATTTGCTTTTGTTGTGATGGTTCCAACACTAACACCCTGCAAAAGCAATGCAAACAAGAAAAATAACTCACTACAATTTGAGAATTCACTCTATACTGTAACAATATCTAGTAACTGTAGTACGTTTAGTTTCAAAAGTAGAATTGCCTGATTGATGTTCCAAAGTTTAACAGAACCGTCATCACTGCCGCTGGCCAACATAGTTGGATCTGCTACCGAGAAGTCCACAGACCAAACCCTCCTCTCATGCTCTCTCATTTCCATGAAAAGTTGGCTTCTTGAGACATCCCAAACCTGGAAAATAGATTATAGACAAATTCATTTTTGTGTAATTTCAACGGGGAAAAGTAAACATGACACATAGGAATCTGACCTACCTGCACTACACCTTCAAAGTTACTTGAAGCAATTTGGCTTTTAATATAACTATTCCAACAAATACTGCTCAGCTTTGATCTACTAGCCATTTCGACAACAGGATAATGAATATCATGATCTTCATTTAAGATTGAATTGTATTCAAAAATCTTAATCTTCCTATTTACACCAGCACTTGCAAAAAATTCACCATCACGGTCAAAGCTGAGAGCACATACAAGATTTGAAGAATTTAGAAGATCCCCTTGCTTCAAGTCTGCCTTCACTTCTAACTTACTAAAAGAGAGATACTTGCACAAGCCCTCCAAGAATGAATTGATCCATCCACTTGGTGTCTCCTTATCGGAGTTGGGTTTTGATGACAAATTACTGACAGAACTTCTTTCAGTAGCTACAATAGAACCCTTGCCATCACTACTTATTTGAGAATGTCTATTCGATGGTTTATCTGTAGGTTTTACTGCTCTGCGTCTCATCAAGTAATAAGCTGACTCTAATTTCTTGAAATTTTTCATCAATCGGGAACTTTTTGAGAGAAAGCTCCCTTGATTTTCAACAGCTGTCTTGGATATCTGATACTTATCTGGATGGTCACCAGACTCTTCCAAATTGCAAGTACAAATGCCTGGCCTGGATCGCTTTCTAGATCCAGAGTTCCCAGAATCATCGTTATCATTCTTATTAGTCCTGTTTGAGGCTGGATCTTTGCCTACTTCCATGTTAGATCCTCCCTTTTTCCTCAGGGCAGTCTGCATATTTGTAACTTCTTCTATATCAGAAGAGAGAAAAGATATCGTCTCATTCAAATTATCTGCGGCCTCTTCTTTTCTCTGTTGCGTCAGCAAAAGGAACTCCAGCAACAGTTCCTGCTCATCTATTTTTTCTCTAAGCTCTATTGCTGCTTCCCGGTCTTCAAAATTTTCTCTTGGATTATTAAGGAACTCACTTTGTAACAACTCACTGTTATTATTGGTAAAGAGAGTGTGAGAATGTAAATATGAAGGCATGGGTGGAATTAAAAGTTCATGGTAAAAAAATTGCATGCAATAGAATCTCTTAAGATCCCTTTCAATGTAATTCCAATTCAAAATTCACGGATCATGGTCACATAGCAAATCCATTTTGTCCCATATTATCTGAGAAGAAAAGGCTAAATTTTTAGTGGGCATTAGCCTTCCAATTACTGTTTGAATCATCATGACAGCAGTAATGCACAATAGGCAAACAAGCAATTCACTGAAGTTTGCCAGAAGAAGACATCACTTCACCTGGCAATTTAGTCTCCTATAACTAAAAATATACGGTAAAAATCAGAATAGAAGATTGCATTGCAACAAATGACACTACTTACCAACAAACTCTAGTAAGAACTGACCAAAAAATATAACACAATTTAGAGTGGATAAGACGATATGCAAGGCATTGAGTAAGAAACATGCGGCAATAAACAATTCAAGGAACTGCATATTAAGATCACAAGAGGCAAAAAGAGGCTCACCCCAAATTTGGCCTACTACTGGGCTCAGGGTGCAGTAACCACAAGCAAAATGAAGCTTCTTTGGGCCACTTCAAAAGCAACTGAGGTGGGAGCACTCGATGTCTCAGACTAGACATAGTAGTACTTTTTTCTTCTTGTGAACTGAATGTGCAGAATAGCTGCTCAAAAATGAAACACTCATCTATGAGGCTAAGAAACAATATGTAGACCAGACCGAATTCAGTCTATTAGCTACTAACCTCAAAGAGGAGGACTCCTAGTCGATAAACGTCTGAAGCACAAGAACTTGGAGCACCAGCTACCTCTTCAGGACTAGTGTACCAATTAGTTTCCAAAAGCAATATCTGTTTCATGGGGAATGGATGCTTCTTCTTCTCCTCCTCCGCCTCCTCCGTCTGCTGATTCTTGCCATCAGAACAAGGCATAGCATGGCCTGATTGTTGCTGTTGGCAAATGGTTTCAGACACTATGGGAGAAGGATTAGTAGGATTCCTCCCAGGTTGCAATCTTTGAGTAAGCAACTGCCTTCCTTCTTGTACAGATTCACGGCCCTTACACTGTGCGGTTTGGCTGTTTAATCCATCTTCAAGTGAATCCGAAGTGGAATTGGAGCAGGACGCGGATTCAATAAAAGCAACACGGTTGAATGAGGACATAACAAAGCACGAGGGCCGTACATTATGAACAACAATTCCCTGAGAATGTGCCATATTAACAATTTCTACAATTTGGGTGAATATGTGCAAACATTCAAGTGCATCAACTGTTCTTTCTGGATTGTCCAACCACTTTCTCAAACTAACCTCCCTACCATCTAAGCCACTGCCAACTCTACCAGGCGCTTGCCCATCCTCAGAAAACCCAGTATGGGCACTAAGTCGATTTGTTTGAGGTAACAGAACTCTCTCCCTTCCCTTTCTTGCTGGTATAAACCCAGAATCAAGTGATGCATTACTAGATGACCTTATAGAGCTTCCATGAAGCAATCTCAGATTTCTATCACCGAAGGGCGAGGAATTCAGCCCTCTGGAACTGTCAGACCTCTGCCAACCAGACTCAGATGAACCCTCCATTCCTATCTACGTGTAATTGCAAGAAACCCAATGCACACTCACACAATCAAGAAATTGGGGAATTTTCAGACTCCTAAAACATTCCTTCACTTGCAACATAGCGATGTCTAATAAAGAAAATAGCTTTAACATCAGAAACCACCCAATCCCATCATCTCACAAAACCCATAAGATCACTAGCGACCTTGTGAAAGCAACAAGAATGAGAACACGCTAATCTCATCTCTCAAGAAAACAGAAATAACCCCACAGTCAAAAAAAACCAATGAACCACTGAACTGTAATGCTCTTGATCACATTCATATGAGTTTATAAAGAGAGAGAGAGAGAGAGAGAGAGAGAGAGAGAGAGCAGTTATAGCAATATCAGAGTATCTCCTACACAGGAGAAGGAGCTCAGCTGCTCCTATTTCAGCCAGAGCAAACAAAAGAACAAGAACCACACAACAATACTTCAACTTTTTCAAAAAATAAAAATAAAAATAAAAAAATAAAACACTGCTTTTATTACGAGGATGCACCGCAGCCTCACGAATACCATCTGAGGTCTTCTCACTCGGTATAGTGATCAATTTGAAAGTTCAAGATTAACCTATAAAAATCACTATACATAACCTCATATGGCATTAACTTAAAAAAAAAAAAATCTTTTTTCCAATCCCACAGAAAACACGGACCCCTCATATACTTGTGTATGCCTGTATGTATAAACAATACTTACATTAGTATTGGTCGCAGTAACACTGTGAAGAAGATTTTATTTTCAGAAACCCTAGTGGGCTTCTTTTTTATCTCCATCCTGTTCATTCCCTCTCCTATTCCATCGCATGCAACGTGGCTCATTCTCATCCTCAAAGCTCTTTCATGAAAACCCAGAGGCAAAATGGTAAATTCAGCTTAGCTTCGGACCCATTACCAGCATGCGGCCGTATACGTGAAGGATTCCCAATTTCCAATTCCGGTATCAGAATCAGAAGCAAAACTTTTTTCCAATGTGAGAGAATACTGCTCAGAAACTGAGATTTAATGAATAAAATATAGAGATAGATGCAGTATTAAAATGACACCATTACGAGATATTATTATTTAATCATGAAAAGCACCCACCTTTACCTAATTAATCTTCAACCATCAAATCTTTCTTTTAGTTCTTATCAAAACCCTAATCTAGCCAATATTTTATAGCATAATGTTTCTGGAATTTCTTGTGGAACATCGCAATCTTACATTCTTACTCTCAAGAAGTGAGAAATACCTAGAGAAAATTAAAACTACGAGAACAATAATTTTCGTAAAATTTTTTTTGGCTTTTAACCAGGGTTCATTAGAAAACAACATATAATTTATAATTTGTTATCAACACGCTTGCTCTATATATTTAGTAAATTACGGAGTATTATTTTGTTCAGGTTCATTTTCCTATTATTATTATTTTTAGGTGATTCTAATTTTACCCGAAGTCGATCCACCGGTCAGATTCTCATGACCCTCCATCATTCATGAGTCTTTTTCTCATACATATTTTCAATATAATTTGAACCACACACGACCTCTGGTTATGACTTTAGTCCGACAACGAACCAACTAGGTTAAGTCCGTGGAAGAGATAAGTCGATAAAAATATTTTAAAAAATACAATAACGGTATTTGAATTTCTTATAAAAATAATTCTAAACAAAAAATCAAGCTGTGTGTATCACACATTCTCCTTAAAATCAATTTGTTACTTATCAATGGTGTTAGGAACGTTATAGCGTTAGTATCACATTATAAAATAAATTACAACAGTATATTTGATCACTCAAATATAATTTTTTTGACGAACTAAAACAAAGTGAGAACTTCATAAATTTAAGTTGAAGTAGTAGAATTTCTTCAAGGAAAAAATGAAATTTTTTAGATAAAATAAAACCATTGGTTTTAGGTTGTTCAAAAACTAACTACAAAGGTACCCGGGTTGGACTTCCATTTAGAAGATTATGAGTTCGAGCCTCAGTGGAGGCGTTATTGGTTCTTTGTGTTTCAGTAGGTTGAGAAAGTATATGAACAGATACTACAATGTAATAGAGCCAGTAACTTTCAAAAAAAAAAAAAAAAAAAAAAAAAACTACAAAGGTCATGTTTGGCAGAGTTTATTTAGGAGCTTATAGCTTATTTTAAGCTACTAATAAGCTATAAGCTATGTTTGGTAATGTTCTCAAAATAAGAGCTTATTTTGGAACGCCACCTTAGGTAGCGTTTCAAAATAAGCTCCTAGCTTCCTAATTTTTTTTTCATCTTTATCCTTGTTATTTTAAAGAAATAACATAATTTACCCTTCCCAATTAGAATCATTTTCTCTTCTCCTTTATCTGCAACTTTCACCGCAAATATTTTTCTTATTATTATTATTATTATTATTATTATTATTATTATTATTATTATTATTATTATTATTGTTATTATGAGATTTACAACAATATTGCTACTTCATTATGAGAGGCTAGATCATGATTATGTTAATAGTTTTATTTTCAAATGTTATTTTTTTAAAAGACAAAATGTTAAATTTTAATATGTAAACAAACTAATTTAAATTTTATGAAGCTGTCCTTTTTAGTCTTTTTACATTTATCAACTTATCAAAAAGCTAATTTTACCAAACACTTTCAATCATAACAGCTAGCTTAACAGCTCTTCAGTTTTCAGCTCCGAACTTATAGTTTTTCAACTTTCAGCTCATTTTCAACTTTCAGCTTCTAGCTTATAGCTTTTCAGCTAGGTTTGCCAAACAGAGCTAAAGATATTATGTCCAAAACAAGTATTTATAGAGGACAGTAAAATTAATAGCATTAAACTGACATTAATATTTTATTTAAAATCTACTTGTAACCCTCATAATTGGTCATTTAATTTGGAAATAACACATGCAATTACGTAACTAATTCTTAAAAAGGAAAATAAATTGATTAGAATTAACAAAGCAAGTCAAGTTTTTTTACGAGTTAATTCCATCAGGGATTTCTTGTTTTTTGTGACAATTTCAAATTTAGTCTCAGACTATCATTTTTGTCATTTAATATCCCAAATTATTAATTTTTAGACACTTTTAGTCCTTTTCGGGACTTTTCATATTTTTAGTAAAAGTATTTTTGTCTTTTCATATTTTTCTTTTGTTATTTTTTCAGTTTCAACCGGTTTAATTGGTTTAGAACTTTACGTAACTTCTGCTTTTTAGTAATCATATTTTTCAACCGATTTTTAGTAAAATCATAAATCAATTAAACCTGTTGAAATAGGAAAAATACCCATAGAAAAGTATGAAGGGACAAAAGTGCCTTTACTAAAAATATGAAAAGTCATGAGAATGACTAAAAGTGTCCAAAAAATATGAATGTTAAATGATAATAGTCTGAAACTAAATTTGAAATTGCCACCAAAGACAATGGACTAATGATGGAATTAACTCCTTTTTCATACTATTTTTAAATTTGATTTTCACCCAACTAGGTACAACCCTAAAATCATTATCATATTATTTTTGTTTGATCACAAGTTGAAGATTTAATGATCCGGACCAAGGAATTGTCAAAAAAAAAAAAAAAAAAAAAAAAAAACTAATTAATGATTGAATAAAAAAAATATAAACAAATGTAACTTCGAAGTATATCCTAAGGTTCCCACAATAAGGAAAATGCAATTCACATTGCTGGGCCAACTTCTTGATGATGATGACACGGAAATGAAGAGAAAGCAACATTATGGCAAAACCAAAGGCATCATCTCTAAATTAAATTGATAGGCCGGCTAGAATAGTTGTAGTAGTTGAAAGATTAGAATAAAGCATTAATTTGCTCATTAATTGAGTGAAGGAAATGATGCAGAACAATTCCCATTTCTACAATGCACTAGAGCATACATCATTGGTATGTGACCACATGTTTTGCGCCAGATCATATAAGTTATCGATACATGGCATATATCTTTGTCTATAAAAATCCAATTAATTGTGAAGACAAATGCATATCAATGTAATTCGATGCCAAAAGTCTTGTGATCGAGCGGCATAGTTGTGGCCCTTCAACTTCAGGTTCGAAAGTATGTATGAACATATACTACATTGTAATAGGGTCAATATCATTAAAAAAAATCAATGTAATTCGATTTGTAAAGCGGAACCAAACATTCCCTATAAAGTTTAGGTTTCAATTTCAACAATTCTCATATCTTTAAATGCTACTTTAGAATTGAAATGAGCAAATTTCACTTTTAATTATCGATTATTGTGTCATTGTTACATTTAGTCCTGTTATTTTCATTTTGTCTGATCACATCATTGACTTTTATTTGGTTAATGATACGATTAATTATCTATTTAAATTTTTGTTATTTCATTGTTTAGTAAAGATGACTAACATGTAATTTTGTCATTGAGCATGCTATTCTTCTGACTAATAGGGAGTTAGCATAATAAAGGTGACTGTAGCAAGGGTATGAGTGGTGGGGTGGAGGTAGTGAACTGCGGTCACCAACAATCCAATGTAGTTTCAGGCTGTGGTGGATCCAAATCCAATGAGAATTAACCAATGGACGTGGAAAATACTAGGCAAGAAAAATTGATGAATGGAAGACTTGCTGGATAGGCATGTATGGATCAATGAGTTTACTTTGCGGAATTGTCATGGGCTTGGCAACCATACGACAATTTAGGCTTTGGTGGACCTGAATTAATAAGGTGGGCTGTTGCGTTTTTATAGAAACAAGGTGTGATGCAAGGAAGATGGAGAATATTAGAGTAATAATTGGTTTTAAAGAAATGTTTGTGGTGGCGAGTGTAGGAAATAGTGGATGTTTGCCATTAATGTGAAAGGATGATGTGGTGCTGTATATCATGGGTTATTCCCACAATCATATTGACGCTAAAATAACACATAGCATAGTCCTCCGAGGTTGGAGATTCACTGACTTCTACAACTTTCCCGAACGGGCACGTAGATGTGATTCGTGGCAACTATTGAAAGGTTTGGCAAATGCTAGCAATATGTCATGGGTGGTGATGGGGACTTCAACGATATGCTGGTCGCTGAAGGCAAAAGGTGTGTTCACCCACATCCATATTACTTGCTAGCAGGTTTACATGATGCATAGCAAACTTAGGGACTTCCATTTTGAGGATACCATTTCACATAGGAAAGGTCGATGAGAACTCTAACTTGGGTGGAAGAGAAACTAGACAGAGTCAAGGTGGCTTTAGTTATGTGCAACTATATCGATAATTTGCCACAAACGTTGAAACCCTTTTATGGACTTAGACGTTTGGTTTATTGTCTAAGTTATTGGAATGCTTCTGTGACTTGATTATCTTTTGATCACATAAAGTTTTGGACATATCATTTGTGATTAATTGTATGTAATATGATTAAATTTAGCCCACAGACAATTTCGTTATATTTGTATAATTAATCAGGATGAAATAATGGACTACGGTCATATTTAACCCACAGGCAATTATGTATCGGAATGTAGTTTAGTAGTTTTATCAGTGACGATAGAAAGGACATCGTTGGCTCATACGTAATTGCATTTTGTAGTTCCTTTGTTCAAACTAGAAAGTTGATTACTGATGTTTGAGGGCAGGCGCATGGTCTTTGGATGGGTGATCCGTGATAGCGATGGGATTTTCTCAGGGCGAAAGGAAGTCGAAGCTATGTGTATTAGGGAAGTCCTTAGCTGATTGAAAAGTCTGGAGATTGACATGGTGGATATCTAGACTGACTCGCGGTGGGTGACTAACCCTTTGGCTAGCTAACTCCTAGAAGAGTCAGTTTGGGGCTATTATTACCGATATTAAAGAAACTTCTAGTGATCTCGTTGACGTGAGATTTGATTTTTGTTAAGAGATTAGCGAACTTTCCCTCCTACATTGTGGCTAGGGAAGTCGTTTCTTCGCCTAATTCTATTGAGTGGTATTTTATTCCAACTTTATTTTTGAACTATGTTTTATCCGATGATTTAATGAATAAACTGTTACTGTAAAA